GTATGTTGTTGAAGTGCATTTTTAAAAATGAGAGAAATGGTAACTTCTAACTAATATCAGTCTATCGGAAAAGCCTAAAAACAAAGTGAAGACAGTTTCGATGAGTTCAGGAGTTGCAGTGCCTTTAGAATGTGAACAGTTTGGTTACTTTTTGCAGTACTTTTATTTATTGCATTTTTCCATTTCCTCTTGAGCGTGGAGAGTGCACAGCCATCAGATAGTGGTGCTGCAATCCTGTTTTAAAAGCTCTCTTGTTAGCAACATATTAATTCAGGGGCCTGATTGTGGGGAGGGCATTAGATCCACTATTTCACTTGGAAAACAGTACAGGCCATTCTGCCTTTAATCTGAGACCATGGTAACCAAGAACCAGCTAGATGCTGAAAGATCAGGAAAGCTTACTTATTGAGCCCCCAATCCAGATGTAATTATCATAGCCCACCTACTGTTGCCCCTCCAGGTCCAAGGCTCGTCGTTATTTCTGACCCCTTTTGGTGAGTGTTAGTCTAGTTCCTGGTTGGTACTGCCCTTCTGAATAGCCCTGAAAGTCCTGGTTACTTGCTGTGCAGATTGGGGGCAAAAGAGGGGAGGCAGCAGGTAGACTTGGGTTTTGGTGTTTTCTGATTAAACTGGTGCCAATTACCTTTCTCAAAGATTCAAAGCAATTCCTACATCAAGAATTGTATCAGCTTCTATAGGTTATAGTCTAACTATGTAGTAAGTTTCCTGTTCAGTAAGAACTGGCCTTTCCCACACCATCCTATTTCTACTTTAGTTCATATTTATCTAACGTGATTCTTCCAGTGGAGAAGCCCATTAAACCCCACCCTCGGTAGAGGTTAGAGAGCTGGCCTCATGGTCAGTGCTGCCTGGGGAGCCCTGTGTAAGGCACATGACCTCCTCATGAGCCAGGTCACTCTCCAGGACCAGAATGCTGCTGAAGGGCTGCCAGTGGGGGTGGGGGGCAGGGGGCAGCTTTTCCTTACCTAGGGCCCTTGAAGGCCCAGGTCATCCTGGCTCTCTCAGACATGCTCTCTGGGCTTTAATCTTTGATTTAACCACATTGCTTCTTGAACACAGCACCAGAGAAGCAGGTAAGAAGGAAATGTGAGATCCTAGGTTGTAAGATGGCATTGGCCACAGAGACCATCTAGGCCACCCTGCCTCATTGTGGACTCTGAGGTCCAGAGAAGTTAAATTCTTGCCCAAGGTCACACAGCAGATGTGGGAGGTAGTTTGGGGGAAAATATAATAAATTGGATTTTGGTCATACCTGGGATTGAGAGCTAGAAGAGACTTCTGTTTCTGGTAAGGAAGGAAAGTGCGAGTCAGAAGGGTGAAGTGATTTGCCCAGTGTTGTCATGCAGATAGTAAGGGTTGTAGCTGGGATTTGAACCCAACTCCTTTTGCTCTAAATTCTTGGCTTTCTTTTCTTTTTTCTTTTCTTTTGCTGCTTCTCCATTGAGGTTGAGTTTATGATGCCAGCAAGAAGTTCATTTCCACAAACATTTATTAAATGCCTCCTTTGAGCAAGGCACCCATTTCCTAGATTGCTGGGGATACCAAGAAAAATAAAATGGTGTCTGAGCTCCTGGAATTTCTCTTCTCTAGGGGCACTTGTAGGAGGGGGGAGGAAGAGAGAGCTAGGGAGGAGGGGAGGGAGTGAGCTTTTGCTGGGAGGTGGAAGAGCCTGTGAGTGAGAGCCAGTGACCAACTTGTCTATAGTGGGGAAAGGGAAGAAGGGAAATGATAGGAAGTGAGCCTGGAAAGGCAGTAGTGTGGATCCCACTGGGTGAGGGCTTGGAGTGCCAGGTTGAGGAGTTTATTGTACACTCAAGGCACTAGCATCTCCTGAAGATTTTTGAGTGGGGAGTTGTTGAATGGTGAGGCTTCTTTGACAACAGGGTGGAGGATGATTAGAAGTAGGGGGACCCTTGAGGAGACCACCCCAGTGACCCAGGTGAGGGCGATGGAGAGCCTGAACTGAGGTGGGAACTGGATAAATAAGGAGAAAGGGGTGGGTGTAAGAAATGGAGTGAAATTGACCAGACTTGGCCGCCTATTAGACATAGGGGATGGGAGTGATTGAAGAGCTGAGGATTACTCTGAGGTTTTGAACCAGTGCAGATGGAAGACTGGTAGTTCTTTTGACAGAAATAGGGCCCTCACTGCAATAGGCATCTTTTTGTATTTCCTAATCAATTCTATTTCCTCCCTCAGCTGAGATATTTAGCTGAAAAATTAATATTCAGCTGAAAATTTGAGGTCATTCCCAGAGAACTTTCTCTTTTCTCCTGTTCCTTATCTCATATCACTCAGATGGCCTTCTGCTACCATCTTAATCATTGTTTTTCACAGGAAGAGATGAAGAAGGGAAATAAGCCTTTATATAAGAGTCTACTATGGCCTATCATCCTCATTTTACACTTGAGGAAACTGAGGCAAGCAGGTTAAGTGACTTGTCCAGAATCATATAGCGGTGTCTAAAGCCGAATTTGAACTCGGGTCTTCTTGACTCCAGGCCTTGTATTCTATCCATTGCACCACCTCACTGACTAAGTGGCTCTTCTCCTTGCCAAGCAAACCTCTCTACTTAAACAAGTGACTCCCATCCCATTCTGTCTTCTCCAGACAATTGTCTCCTCCACACAGTTCTCACTCTCAGCTTATCTTCAACTGCTCCTTTTCTGCTGGCAGCTTTCCTGCCTCCTACAAACATGTCCATCCTCAGAAAATCTTCACTTGATCCATCCATCCATTCCTGCTAGCTCTTGACTTTTCTCTGTCTTCTCTTTCATAGCTGACTTTGAGAAAGCCCTCCACCATAGTTGCCTCCCCTTCCTCTCCTCTTACTTGATTCTTAACTCTGCTTCTTAACTTCCAGCCTCATCTTTCCACTGAAGCTGCCCTCTGCCATGTTGCTGATGATCTCTTAGTCATCAAATCCAATGGCCTTTTCTCAGTCCTCTTTCTTGACTTTTCTGCAGCCTTTGATACTGTCCGTCACTGTCAATCATCTTCACCTCCTTTATATTCTTTGCTTTCCCCTCGTTCTTCTCCTGTCTGTCTGCTCCTCCCTCAGTCTTCTTTGCTAGATCTTCATCCAGGTCATGCCTCCTAACCATGGGTGTTAGGGCTCTGTCTTGGGCCCTCTGTACTGTTTCATTTGGTGATCTTATCAACTCCCCTGGATTAAATTATCACCTCTGTGCTGACACTTCTTGAATCTACTTATCCAGTCCTAACCTCACTGCTGATCTCCATACTCATGTCTCCAGCTGCCCATGGGGACATCTCAGACTGGATGACTCATAGATACCTTAAACTTAACACTTCTGGGAATAGTGACCTGGGAGAGATCCTTTGGTCTAGAAATTTACTGGGATGGTGGATGAGGCTTTGGGAGAGTATGAGGACACACCCCATCTAGGAACTACAGCAGTTGGTTTCCTCTTGGTTCCAAAACTGGATAGAGGTTGCAGTGACAAAGAAAGGGCCACCAATCTGGAGAGCAAAACTTCTGGCTGAAGGCTGGAGTGGTAGAGTACAAGAGAGGAAGGAGTGAAGGGAAGCTTGGCAGTTTGGGGCTGATCTGAAGTAGTGATCTACGAGAGGAATGGAAGCAACAATGTGAGCCACTGTTTCTAAGTGTTTATCAGTCTCTTGATTTTTCCGTAATCTACATTGAGGATTGAGTTGAGCATGTTGGTGTTCTGTATGTTTTGTCAATTAAAAATTAAAAGTTTACTGGAGAGAATAAAACTTGTCCAATTGGCTTGTATTAGTGAGGCCCAGTTGAGAATAGATAACAAATTTGTAGTGGACCCAGTCAACACAGGGGCAAGTTTTGAGTGGCAGCAGAACAAGAGGGCAAGCAAAGGTTTTGAGAGTAAAGGCTGGTGTGTAGTTGAACTGGTTAACCACTGTGTCAGAACTCTTAAGGACTGGAAGCCACATTAAATATGGTTTAAGTGGAGGAAGGCAGAAGAGACTTTAATCGGGGAAGAGAATTTCGGCCTTAAGGATTGTGGAGGTCACAGGGATATTGGTAAGAGCTAACATGTTTCCATCTGTGTGGGTCACCGAGGTATAAAAGGATGCAGGTCAGAGGAATGGGAGTGGAGGCTAGGCTTTTCATAAGGATATCAGTAGGTATATTGAAGTCCCTGAGTGTGAGGGCAAGAGTTGGGGTGGAGAGAAGACGGAGCCAGACACTGGACTCCTTAAGAAAAGAAAAATAAACTGGAGCATGGTAAGGGATGGCAACAAGGATCTGAACGGGGTGGAGAATGAGGGGTGGAGACAGACGGAGTGAATCTCAGAGGAGGAAAGGTGGCTGCTAAATTTAGCCAGCAGAGGGTAGGCCTAGGTCTGTAAGTGGGATTGAGGAGCAGAGTATTCCTACTTCTTGGGCCGTGCACAAAGTAACAAGTAGGTGTTGATAAATGTTCAACTTATTAACTTGGTAAGCATTTGGTGGATGGAATTGAACCTGATGCTTCCAAGTGATCAGAGGGGCTTGAGCAGAGGCTGCTGGCTTTGGTGGTGAGGTTCAGGGGAGTCAGGAGCACAGCTGCCTGATGGGAGGGCTCTGAGGATGAGCTTTCCTACAGACTGCTTGCCCAGGGTCAGCAGTGAAGGAGCAAGGAAACAGAGGCAGCTTGAGCGGGCGGCCAAACACAGACAGCTAAAAACTGGTCCCAGTGGTTTTGAACACTTCTTGGACGACAGCGTGACATGGTGTTAACCAGTGAAAATGTCCCCGTTCCCATGACGTCAACCTTCATTGCTCTGCCATCTCCTTGTCTGCACCAAGCCGGGGACATTTTTTTCTGTGAACTATTAGGTTTCTTTCTTGTGTTGAAAATGAACAGGGTCACCTTCCCCCTTGAAGTAAGCTGCTGCTGCTGCTGCTGGTAGGGAGAAGGAATATTCAGTTGTGTGAGAAGGTGAAGGCAAAAAAACTATACCTCTCCCCCCCATCTGGTTTTGTTTTTCAGGACTCAAAGCCACCTGTTATTTCATTACAAAAGCTAATTGTGAGGGAGGTAGCAAATGAGGAAAAAGCAATGTTTCTGATCAGTGCCTCGCTGCAAGGACCAGAAATGTATGAAATTTATACCTGCTCCAAAGAAGAGAGAAATTCATGGATGACCCAGATTCGCAGAGCTGTGGAAAGGTAAATAAAACTTTGGAAGGGTTTTCTTTCCCATTTGTGCATTTGCTCCCTTCAGAGTGAGTATTTTACCTTCATGGCCAAAAGAAAGTTAACTGTCTTTTAGTTCTTGTAGCACCACCTAGAGATTGTTTCACGAAAAGCTAAAGAGCCGATGTGGGTTCTGTAGTGCAGTGAGGAGAGTTAGTTTTCTGCCCTCTTCCACCCCTTTGTGAGGGGCTAGCCTGGGGGAGGGGGAGGGATTCCCTTGTCTCAGAAGAGCAGATCGCACTGTCCCCCATCAGTTTGAGAAGAGCTGAGCAGTCTGTGTTTGACAATAGTTAAGCCTTTGAGATCCTAAAAAGGCTTCCTATTTTTCCAGCCAGATTGTAGAGCCTGTGCATTCATTGCTAGTTTTACCTACATAAAAGTCCAGAGGCCTGGGCATCGATGGATTCCAGATTTCCATATTCTAGATGGAGTGTTCTTCATGACAGCAACAAGTTGTTTGCAAACTTGATTTCCCTTTAAACTCATGTGTCTCCTTGCCTTGTGTCTTTCCACCACTGCACTTCCTGTCCACTTTTACTCAGGGGCCCTTTCAGTCCTGTTATGTCGGCCCTGGCTTTTAGCTAGCTCTGGGCAGGCAAGCCTACTTTGTGTCCTAGAAAAACCTTGCTTCCTTAGAGCACTTTCTGAGTCCTATTCCCTCTTTCTGGAATGCTTTTCCTTTTCTCTCTGCCAAATAGTTTCACCATTCTGTTAGAAACTCACCGCTTCTAGGAAGGCTTCCTAGGCTAATCGGTCCACATTTTCTCATTCCAGCAGTCCATCAGGGTTGCATGTGATTGAGGCTAAGTGTTGATATCCCTAGCACAGAGCCTTCAGATAAATGTTCACTGACTTTTCTTTCTGTTGAGGGTGCTCTTGTGTACTTTGTGCTCTCCCCTTCTTAAGCTGTGAGCTCTCTGATGTTGAAGGTTGTGTATATGCTTTCCTTTTCAACTCATGCTTTGTGCAGATGGAGTCCTCCACAGATATCTGCTGGTTTGTTTCTTCCAGCTCCCTCTGTCTTTTTTTCCTAAGCTAGTGATGAACAAACAGGTTTCATTCAGTTAAAAAACTTCTTAGCACCTGTCTCTGTTAGATGCCTCAGAAGAGCAGTGTCCCTTTTTAAGAAACCAGAGAATGATCCAGAGAAAAACACAAAGACAAGTCACAGCAGTGTCCCTCCCTTCTTCCCTCAGTTGCCCCGATGGGGAGGAAGAGCCGTTCAGTGAGGCCGAAGAAGAGAGAAAAATGGCTGAAGCCCGAGCTGTAAAATTAAAAGAATTCCAAGGTAAAGGGGCTGGGAGCAGATTCTACCAGGAGAGTCTGAACTGGGAGGGAGGCAGCTCTCACCCATGACAGCTGCTGTCAGCCGAAAACCATTGGGGGGGAGGGGGCAGTGCTATGCTTGTAGATCTAGACATTGCCTTGTTTTACCCTTGACCTAAGCTCTCGAAATCATTTGTGAATCAGTCATAAGTTTGTGGGTTTCGAGCTGGAAGAGACCTTAGAAGACATCTAGTCCAGGCCCCTCATTTTATGGATGAGGAAACTGAGTCATGGAGAAGTGAAGAGGCACAGGAAGTCTGTGGCAGAGGTCACTTTGAACCTAAATCTTCCGACTCTAAATCCAGTGCTGTCTAGAGTTGCCAACGGCTTGTGGTTTGGTTTCAATCCGGTATGTGAGGGGGGAAAAATGGAAATGATTGTCCTTTCCCAGGATCCTCCTCAGGCATCTTGTTGGGCAGGCAAGGAGAAAGAGGAGGGTTAGAGAAGCCAGGAATCAGAAGGGACAGGTGGAGGTCAGCTGAGAGCAGAGGTGGACCCTTTGTAGCACCAAATGATCCACACTGACCAGGCCAGTGTCCTTGGGCTGTGAGCGGCCTCTCTGGAGCTGGGCGTCTTCTGCAGCGAGCTGGGGGAGCGGGCCCTGATCGAGGTGGAAGGGCCGTGCTCTGGGCGCCGTAGTGGGGTCATCCTGGGGACCGGCCAGCAGAGCACATCAGGTGGGGGACGTCGGGAGGGCGCCGCGCATGGGCTGAATCCACAGCTCCTGAACGCCTCCCAGCTAGGACGGCGTTGATAATACAGCTCGTTGGATATAGCCGTTTCTGCTTCATTGTCATCTGAAGGGATTCTTGAGATCTGTGTACTGCCCAGGGACCCTTTGCCTCTTGGGGAGGCGGCTCAGTGCAGTGTAAGGAGACAGAGTCAGGGGCCTGGGTTTGAGTCCAGCTTCAGATAGTTCAGTTACTCTGCCTCTAACCCCAGGCATGATAACACTTGGCAGAGTTATTGTGAATGGAGTGCTCTGTAAATCCTGCAGCAAGCTATAAGCATGCAAGTGGTTCTCACCGACCTAAATCGCAAGTGGGCTCTTTGGGCCTTCACCGTTATATGCTGTTCTCAGAGATGGATCTTTGACTGGCCTGTGGTAGCTCAGGTAATAGAACTGGACACAAGCTAAACTTTTGGAGCATCCTAAAGACTTTAAAAGAAGTGATGCTTTTTAAAATTTAAGGTATTCCAGCTCAGTCTCATGATTGTGTCTGAAACATTTCTTGTCAGGAAAATCCAGTCCAGTCTAGGTGACTTTAATAGTGGCGCTTAATCATTTTGGCCCCAAAGACCAGCAGCAATGAGAGGTTTCTGTTGTATAAATCATAAATCGACGTGGAAGAGACTGACACCCTTTTAACTGTACTCCTTTTCTTAGAGCGTTTAAGCAAGAAAGATGAGCTGATTGCTCAAAGTCTCAATGAGAAACAGCAGATTTATTTGGAAATGTCTGAGATTAACAGCTTCGAAGATCTTCCTCCTGGTTCGCAGTCCAGATTCTTTTTCCGAGGGGGAGAACCCTCAGAGAACCTGCAAGGCGATATGATTCTGAAGTCGGCAATATCTGAAGGTAGGTAGCAAAAGACCTTCCAGATGGTGGCCAGGGACACTCATGATTATGAAAACATTCCTTAGAGCCATAGGATGTAGTGGTTGGCAAGGACTCATTGACCACCCAGTCCAACCCCTTCATTTTAGATTGGGGGGGATGCAAATTGGGGTTAAGTGACTTGCCCAGGGTCACACAGCTAGTAAGTGTCAAGTGTTTGGTCTGAGGCCAGATGTGAACTCGGGTCCTCCTGACTTCGGGCCAATACTCTCTATCCACTGCACCACCTAGCTGCCCCCCAACCCCTTCATTTTACAGAAGGTGAAACTGAGGTACAGAGAAAGGGTCGGTGACTCACCTGAGGCACATATCTATGAGTATGTGGTTCTAGATCCAGAATATTGTAGACTGATACGCCAGGCTGCACGCATTGACTCATCCCACATTCATTGACCACCACTGTATGTATGAAGCCCTGAGTTAAGGAGTGGAAGAGACCCACCTGGTCTGTCCTAGTGATAAACCAGGGCACAGTGCTGGACCTTGGGCATGCTTTCACACGTGTGTTCGTGGAGGAAGCTGCTATCTGTTTCTCCTTGGTGATTCTGAATGCACATTGCAGAAAATGAAACTTTCTTGCATTGATAGACCAAACCTCTCGCTTGTTGGCGCTGTGTTGAAGGCACATCCCTGGATCAGATTTCATTGTAGAGTATTTTGCTTTTGTCTCTTTCATGGACACAACCTTGGCCTGCCATCTCACCAGTGTGTACTCTTAAGGGCTGGGCCAGAAAGCGTGGCTTGATTCAGTGCGAATCTGTCAACACTGCTCTGAACACAGCTCAGCATATGGACCTTAGTGATAGTTAGTGGTCATCTTCAAAGGGAAACATATGAGAGAGCCCGCAGCATATCTTTAACTTTCTGTTTAGACATTGGCATCTTGTTTGTCATGGCAGCAGTCCCTGTGTCAAAGTGGTGTGGTGTGCTGTGTTTTCTTTCCTGGTGTCTGACCGCCTTGTTATATGGCTGCAGTAATTCTGTGCTCTCTCTCTTCCTTTCTCTAGTTGAGACTATTCAGAACCTGATCTACAAACAGCTGGGGAGCGTCAGCTGTCAAGGTGACGATGGCGGCAGTGGGGATGATCCCTCGTCACCCCGGAGAGGAGAGACCTCTGGGGGCTATGACAGCAGCACAAACCCAAATAAAAGTAAGCAGCCCGATACACTGAGAGGGCGAGGGACAGCTTTTCCACCTTTTCAGATGACAAAGTTACTCTGTCTACTTGATCTTCAAACAGTGCCCCCAGTGAATACTGTCCTCCTCCCCCTCCCCCAAGCGAGTTGTCAGGGAGCCCATCTTCACTTGAACGTAATGCTTCCTGCTCCGGTCTTGGTGCATTTGGACAGCCCAGTCGACATCAGTGTCATCTTTTAGCCTAATTTGTTCTGCTGGTATTCTCCAAGCTCTTTGAGTGTGGTGTTATCTGGCTTCTTTGGAAACACTGCAAATCCGGCAGAGCTCTGCCATGCATGAGCGACCTGGAGAGACCTTTCCTTGTACCTTGTTCTGTAGACTTTCCTAGAGCTATTTCCAAAAAGATGCTCAGATCCACCCCACATTGGCTTCTCCACTCTCCTGCCTTGGCCAGTCTTGCCAGGTCTCTTCCTGGTGTTCATGCTGTTGTCTTCAGTCACAGAAGCTTCAGCCCCTGCCCCTGTACACAGAACCAGCGGATACTCGACACTAAGAACTAAACCCACCCTCTTGGGTGTCAGAATACTGCTTAATCACCGATTTTGGAACTTGAAGGTTGCTCTGATAATTGGCAAGTTTGTTTCTAATTCCAAATGCTAGTCTTTTCTGGTTCCAAAATTAAATTTGGTCTATGTGACATTCTAGTGAGATTGTCTTAGGACTTTTTTTTTTGTCTTTTTAAGATGCGAGTTTTAAGAAAAAGGTCTGCAATAGTGATGCCTGGTTTAAAGACCGGAGAAATCCTTTTACCAGCTCAGACTCGCAGCTTGGTGACCTTTCAGGAGATTCTGAAGAAGGATCACAGACAGTATGTTTTTCTTCATTCTAATTCTCTGTGTTTTAAAATTGAGTTTATAATGATGAAGCATACTATCTGCCTGCAGAGAAAGGACTAATATGCTTTGAATACAGACTGAAGCATGCTATTTTTCACTTTCTTTCTTTCATTCTTTTTCTTTTATTTAAGTCTTCTTGTACATAGTGACTAATATGGAAATATTTTATGTGATTGTGCATGTATAACCTATATCTGATTGCTTACTGTCCCTGGGGAGGGAAGAATAGAATTTGCAATTGAAAACCTAAAAAATAAATCAAAGAAAATACCAACAGCTGTCTAAAAATTGTTTTAACATGTAATGGGGGGGAGGGGGATAAAATAGATTTAAAAAAATAAAATTGAGTCCAACAGCGTGCAAATGGGGAGCAAACAGCATGCAAACTCCCCCACCAAGATCAGCGCTCGCCCCTGCTGGGAGTGAACCTACAAGCCATAGTGGAAAAAGCAGCCAGGAATGGTGGTGGTGTCATCAGAAGGGGGCTTGGCCTCACTGAGTGCCCGCAATGGAAAGAGTTAGCAGGGAAAGGCTTTAAGATGAAAGCAGACAGTCCAGAAAGCACACTGGGGGCAAGGGGACTGAATGGCAGGGGAGGTGGGGGGGTAGTTTAAGAACCAGTGAGATGTAGGAAATAGGATGGGGTAGCAGAGAGAGTTTAGTGTTCTTGGGGCTCTCCCTCAACGTCCAGACTTGTGGCTAGGGCGCCAAGCCTTGTAAAGCTGGAGGCCCGGCTGCCAGTGTGACCTTGGGCCTTGGCCTTTCTAAGCCTCGGTTCCTTAGCAATTCAGTCTAGGACTTTTTCAGTTGCCCCATGCATCTTAATTATAAACTTAAAATTATGTGATATCATTAACTATGCAATCATCTATACTATTAACTGTAAAATAATATATGCTGTACTAAATATAATTACATATTATGCATAATGTTGCATTTTTTTTAATTAACAATATGATTATATGTTGTTTTCTATGTAATAGAAACTAATTTGTATCCTTGTGTGGTTCTCCCTTCAGAACGAGGTTACCCGAGTGGATTGGAACAACAGCTCACCAGGCATGATGGAGCCTGAGGTACGCACCCGGAGCAGTCCTGTTGGCCTGAATACAGTCTTGCTGTATTCAGTTCATCGCAGCACAGAACTTACCCACATGCTTCTGTAAGGGCCAGGCCCAGCCCTTTGTGATCAGGCTCCAGGCCTGGTGAAGCTGCTGTCTCAGAGGTCACCGCCCCCTCACTGACAAATCTAGTGAAGGTTTTTTTCATCTTTAGCCTTCTTGCCTTTTCTGTAGTTTTATCACTCCTTCCTGTGAGGCTGCTTTTTGGTCGGGGTCCACCTGCATCCTGGTCTTCATTTCTGAGCTGCTGAAGTGAATATTCACATAAAAGCCTGCGCTTGGCCCTCTTTTTCTCTCTTTATACTCTCTCCTTTAAGAGTCTTTTTAATCTCAGGACTTTAACGCCTGTCTGTGCCCACAGCTTCTGTACCTTTACTTCTCTCACCCCGACCTCTCTTCTGCACTCCAGTGTTCATTTCGTCTCCTGACACAGAGGTGCAGAATGAGACGGGCATTCTGGACATAGTCAGTGTGGGGATTTGCTTTGCTTCGCTGTGTTGTCGTTCAGTTGTTTTTCAGTCGTGTCCAACTCTTCATGCCCCCATTTGGGGTTTTCTTGGCAGAGACACTGGAATGGTTTGCCATTTCTTCCTCCAGCTCGTTATATAGATGAGGAAACTGAGGCAAACAGTGTAAAATGACTTACCCAGGGTCACACAGCTAGTAAGTATCTGAGGCCAGATTTGAATTCAGGGAAATGAATCTTCCTGACTCCAGAGCCATAGCTCTTTCCACTGCACCGCCTTAGGCTGCCCCTTGCTTCACTGTTCCTGTTTATTATAAGGCTTTAGTCTTCCTTCCTTCCTTCCTTTCTTTCTAAATGTAGGGTGGGAGAGTGGGAAAGAAAAAATAAATGCTCGTTAATTTAAAAAAGAGGTTTAAAAACTGCTTGTTACGACCTCTCTACCAGGATGTACTAAACCAAACTTAAACTTCTTCCTCCTGCTGTCACTGTTTGTGTTTGGTGCGTCTGTTCACTCAGTTTCCCATTTTTGTAATCATCGTCACCTCTTGTATCTCACTTATAAAGCCTGTCAATTCCATCGCCACCGACGCACCATATTCTGCATCATCCCTCATCTGTACTTCCACTGCCATCACCCTAGTTAGTGCAAGTCCTTATTATCACCTGCCTGAGCTACTGCTTCCCACCCCCTCATCCCCCATCCTTTTTCCATATGCCAGGGACATCTTCTTAGGCCTAGATCTCCTAGCTCTGGCTGCAGTCAGCTCCAGCCCCTCTGCCCAGTAGGCAAGGCCCCCACCATTCTGTCTTCCCAGTTTAGTTTGTATTCCTTTTTTCCACACACTCTTATTTCTCATTGAAACTGGACTTGAGTCTCACCTGAAAACACGCATTTGCTCCCTCAGATCTGTGGCTCTACTTTCTTGTGCCTAGAATGCTTCCCCTCTTCCTCTCGCCTGTTGAATGCCTTTTTCCTTTAAAGCCCAAGTCAGTTGCCACCTCTTTCATGCACCTTCCCTGATTCCTTTGGTCAGTAATGGCCTCCCCATATCACCAAAGGCATTTAGACTGTAATGGGGCAGTGGATGTCTTCTCCCTCTGCTAGACTCTTTTTTTAATTATTATTAATTTATTTTGATTGATCAACAATCGCTTCCATAAGCTTTTGAATTGTAAATTTTCTCCCCCTCCCTCCCCACCTCTCTCCCCAAGAGAGAGTCCAATCTGATATAGGCTGTACATGTACATTCCTGTTAAACATATTCTCACATTAGTGATGTTGGGGTTTTTTTGTTTTTGTTGTGTTTTTTTGCTAGGCAGTGGGGTTAAGTGGCTTGCCCAGGGTCACACAGCTAGTAAGTGTTATGTGTCTGAGGCCGGATTTGAACTCAGGTCCTCCTGAATCCAGGGCCGGTGCTCTATCCACTGCGCCGCCTAGCTGCCCCCACATTAGTGATGTTGTAAGGAAGAGTTAGAACCAATAGGAGGAATCACCAGAAAGAGGAAACAAAACACAACAGAAGAAAAAAAATAGTAAATAGTATGCTTCTGTCTGCATTCCAACTCCATAGTTCTCTCTTTGGATGTGGATAGCATTTTCTATCATGAGGCTTTTGGAGATCCTTGCATTGCTGAGAAGGGTTAAGTCTGTCAAAGTTAGTCATTGCACAACATGGCTGTTACTGTATACAACGTTCTCCTGGTTCTGCTCACTTCACTCAGCATCAGTCCACCCAAGTCTTTCCAGGTTTTCTGAAGTCCACCTGCTCCTCGTTTCTTATAGCACGATAGTATTCCATTACATTCATATACTACAACTTGTTCAGCTGTTCCCCAGTTGATGGGCATTCCCTCAATTTCCAGTTCTTTTCTGCTAGACTCTTAGCTCCATAAGGAGTCACCTATCACAATGCCCTGTACACAGTAGGTACTTGATAAATGTTCATTGTTGTTTCTACTTCCCCACGTAAATACAGATTCAAGCCAGTGACGTTTTCTTCTAAAAACCTTTCTTTTCTTTTTCTTCTCAGCTTGTACAGACAACACAGACATTATCCCAGTTGCTTCTCAACCTTCAGGTAAAACACAGATATTTAGAAAATAAATCAACCACTTGTTTTTCTATAACTTGTAGTCCAAGAGAGGACATAGTTTTAAATACTTTTTTGATTTACTGGTGACAGAAACCGTGCTTTGTTGAACAGAGACACCCCTCCCCACCCCGGTCCTGATGCTCCCTGACAGTGCTTTGTGCTGGGTCTTTCAGGCAGTGATTGCTGAGCAGGACAGCTACATTGAAATGCAGATGGCCATGGTTCTGGAGAGAAAAGCAATACAGACTGCAGTCAACACGTGGAAACTTCCTGTTAGAACAGGAGAAAGAGAGGGACTTTGAGAAGCAGAGAGAAGAGCTGGCCAATGTACAGAAACTCCAGAACCAGCTTCAACAGGAACAGCAGCGCTGGGAGCGAGAGCGCAGCCGGCAGCAGAAAGAGCTGGAGCACATGGAGGCCCGGCTGCGGGAGCGAGAGAATGAGTCCCAGCAGCTGCGGGAGCAGTTGACCCAGGACAAAGAGGAGCTGGAACGGCAGCGGGAGGCCTACCAGCATGACCTGGAGAGGCTTCGTGAGTCCCAGCGAGCTGTGGAGAAGGAAAAGGAGCGGCTCGAACTTCTAAAAAATGGAAGAAACAGAATACTGTGCCTGGCTCATTACCTTCCGAAGGGGCAGAGGTGAGGCAGCCATGTTCTTTTGGAGGGCTTGGTTTTGAAAAGACCTGGGAAAGAGGGAGTTCTTTGTATTAGCCTTTGGCTGAAAATTGAGCTGTTTTTTTCTGATCAGAAACAGGACTTCTGGCTTTGGCAATGGAACTAGTTTGATAGGGGAATGTAATTAAAACTGAATCTATTGGGAAATTCCAAACTTCAAAGTCCATAGATTTTTTTAAAAGGCTGATTGCCCACATTCAGGATGGAGACACTCATTGTGAGCTTTTTTTGTTTCCCAGCTCCCCTTGTTGGCTCATGGAGCTTTGGGTGAGGGTAGTTTTTTTCATCCTTCCCATCTTCCAGTGTGTTAGCCAGTCCTCCCAGCTTTTTGTCCTATGCGTATCTGATGTGATTTTATTCAAGTCGATCAAAATGTTAAATAACACACATCCTTGGGCCATACCACTGGAAACCAGCTTCCAGCAAACTCTTTGGGCCTGGCCATTCAACCATTTCTGAATCCATCTACTTGTGTCGTCATTTGCTTTGCTATTTATGTAGTCAGACTGCAGCTGCAACATTCCCTTGCTTTATCAGTTTAGTAACCATGGAAAAGAAGGAAATAAGCTTTAGTCTGCTGTGAGTGGAGCTGCACGAATGCCAGAAGATGAGATTGCCCACCTTTCTTCCTTTCCATGAGCAGAGCAGGCTTGATGGGGATCTGCCAGACTGCTTCTTTGTGACCACACTTTGCTTTTCTAGATGTACGTTAACCATCAAATCAATGTGTTCTAGCATTTTGTCATTGGGCAGAGATGTTGGTGAAGAGATTCATTTGATAAGGTCCCTCCTGGCTCCAGAATCAGTGTGATTTCATGATTGAAATTGGGTCAAGAAAGAAGTCCTACGTGTTAAGGGAATTGGAAAATGAATCGCAGTCTTGAATTTTGTTAGAATAAAACAGTTATTGAAGTGAACCAGGGTATAACCTGAATGCCCTGAAAAACCCCAATTATTCACTTGTCCAAAATATTTGAGTGTCTAGATACCGAAGGATACAAGTCCTGGTTCCTGCCCATCATCAGGGAAGCATGGGCTCTGCCTTGAGGCAGAGTTTCCTGATGTGCTTAAACAGAAAAATGCTCAAGGAAACTTGGTGGTGGTGGTGGAGGGGGGATGGAGCAGGGCTGGCCCTGCTGGATCGAATGAGCGGAGTCAAAGCTGAATATGGTTTTCTCTTCTAGGGCCACGCCCTGAGCACCTCCTCTAGTTTCAATGGTGAAGGCCTCGAGGGGGCCGTGCAGCTAGCCAAGTCCTTAGGGAGGACCAGCACCCTGTTGTCCAGCTCTGATCACGCGGAGCGTCCAGACGTGGCTCGTCGCGACAGCACAGCGGCAGAGGGCCGCCCGGTGAAGAGCGACGTGCCCATTCAGCTTCTGAGCGCCACCAGCCAGATCCAGAAGCAAGCCTCTGTCCAGCAGCAGATCCCCACCAAGCTGGCAGTGCTTACCAAAGGCAGCAAGGAGAAGGGAGGGAAGAGCAGAGCCTCCCAGCGGTCTGACAGCTCCAGTTAGTGTCTGCACTGGTACCCCCTCTTGGGTGCTCTCAGGGAGCCCTTTGGACAGTCCAGGCAGCCTTGGGCTGGGTCGGGCTCCCCTGTTGGTGACCCCCTCTGATGACTAATGCCTAGTACCTCTTTCCACACCAGACCTGAGAGTCCTGGTACAAGGCACATTGGCCACTTTCCTGGGGCAGAGGAGAAGTAGCAGGGAGAGGGGTTGAAAGTCATTGCTATTGATGAATACAATTCATCAGGAACCTTGATCAGTAATAAATTGAAGCGCTCATTCTTTGAAAAGAAAGCGGAACCTATGGAACCCAGTGAGCCTCCTGAAGTCACCTATTTAGAGACGTCTTTTTTCTCTGTCTCGGTCATTAAAAAGCAGGGGGAGTAGGGACGTCTCAAATGAGCTGCCCTAAGTCTTGGGGTGAGGGCTGGGTTGGAAGCCAGCCCTAAAAGGCTTTTACAGTTGCAAAAATAGAAGCACAAGCTGTATTTGCTGCTGAGAAGACAATTCAAGGCTGTCATCTCTGCCATTGAGAGACAACAGCAAAGCCACAAAGCTGGCCACTTTCTGAAAACATCTTCTTAAAAGTCCTTTTTAGCCATGCTCCAGATGTGTGGTCTTGGGGAGCCTTGCAGCGTGGCCCACAGAGAGAGAGTGACGCCTCTCAGCTGCTGGGGTGTGGTTCAGTCTTGAGTAATTGTGGTTGGGCGGCTGCAGTGCTTTATTGCATGGCTCCCCAAAACAGACCTGGCTGCAGTTATGGCAAAGAACAGAAGACTGCTCACAGATGAAAAAGCGCAAAGGTTGTACTGAATTTGCCCCGAGTCAGAAGCCAGGTAGCTCTTTAGCTTCTGATGCAGGAGCTGAGAAATGAGACACAATGAGGAGGGAAGCCCTGGTTCTTCTTCCTGCCTTGTTTGGGCATCGCACTGCCCGGGTCCTAAGGCTTCTGTCTCCCTATTGGAGATTTTCATAAGGTAGAGTGTTAGCAAACAGTGCCATTTGTGATAAGGAAAGTGAGGGCGGGGATGCTGCCCCACGTGGATCAGGTGTATAAGGTCTAGAACAACCACCTGTGCTTGTTCCAACACAAAACTCTTCAGTGATTGGCGATGGACCAGGGGGTCTACAAATGTTATTCTTTGTCTTCATGTGAATTTGAGATGGAGACTTAGATTCAAGAGAGGCTTCTGAGAGGTTAGGTGCCTCTTGGCTTTGCCTGGGGCCGTGCGACAATGTCTCTGGTCTGCTTGTGTGTCAACAGAGGTGGAAGAAATGAAAACCCCCATTGTTTCCCATTGTCTTCTGAAGGGTTCCTGTCTAGAGACTGGCAGCCCTTCATAGATCCCTAGACTTGGGAGTAGGGAGGGTGGGGACAATCTAAAAGACAGTCATTGGAAATCCCTCTCCTTTTTTTCAGCCTCCTTTGACCTAAAACAGCAGCTGATGATCAACAAGTTTATGGGCAAAGAAGAAAACACTATAAAAACCCACCAGGCCCCGAGTCCTGTCCTGACAAGCCAGAGTGTTATCGTACCTCCGGGTAAGGCCTTGGGCAGGGAGGGGCTGACGGATGTTTTGTGGGGAATCTGCTAGAATGGGATGTGACTGTTGACTTGGGGTCGCCTGGATCTTGTGTTTTTCAGAGGCATGTTTCCCAGCAGACATCCCGCCATCGGAGATCTCTCCTCTCGGCCCAGGAAATGCATTCAGGCCAAACAGCACTCCCATCCTCTCCCCCCCAGCCCACCTACCCACGCGACACCCCTCTGAAGACGAAGCCAATAAGGAAGATGTGATCTTTTTCTGAACTTCTGTAGTCTAGGGTGCACCCGAGGCCATCCTCTGGGAAAGGATCTCCATGGAGACAACAGAGCAACAGAGCCCCAGTGCTGGCTGGCATCTCCCGTCATCTCCACAGGGACATCTGCTTCAGATGAAGCCAGGTTTTCAGTGTTCACCGGGAGCTCCAGAGGGCTCATTGTGACAGCATTGGCACTCGTTTTTCTGTTTTTCAGGCATAACCACTATGGACTTGAACATGGCCTGGGCGTATCAATTCCAAATCTATGGATGGGTTGCCATCCACCATAACATGCTCTTTTTGGTGAATTTACAGTGATTCTTGGTTAAGTTTTTAATCTCTTTTTTAGAAAAAGTTTCAATTGGAAGTTGAACCATAAATGAACTAAGGATCTGTTCTAAATAATAGGACACCATTTGGGTAAGAGAAATCTATTTTCAATCTGTTTTTACAGAGCTGTGGCCAGTAGTTGCAGTTTCAGAAAGCAGCTAGGTGACAAGCCAGCAAACCAGCTATCCTAGGGTCCTGGGCTTCTCTGTGCTATGCATGAGCTGGAAGGGTGGACCTAGAGCTGGAGTGTATTGGGCCCTTAAAGCTATTAACGTGGTTTCAAGGCCCCAGAGGCGAACTTAGGGAATATATCCGTTCTGGGGGAGGTGATCCTAGCAGCCCACCTTCTTGGCTGTCCCAGGTTGGCAGCAGTCAGTACTGTCCGTCTTCAGAAAAGGCGCCTTAAGCTCGTCTCCACTTCTGAGGCTTTGCTGGGTGTGATACAGATTCCCAAAGCAAATCATGTTGGTTCATAGTGAACCCAGGATTGGGATGTTTTCCTGATCATTGATGAAGATGCTAAATCTAAAAAAATTTAGCAAAATTGAGAGTGCAATAAGTTACTGTCTTCTGGAATCCTTTGTCTTCTAGATTGTTACAGTGGATGCCCTACTAGCGGGGGCCTTTCTTATCACACAGGCAGAATGTTGAAGTGCTGGTGTCTCCACCAATCGGCAGCTGGCCGGAAGGCAGCAGCATATCGAGAATGAAGGGAATGTGGGCCCATGTAACGAAATGGAGTTTTTGTTGGCAAACTGTTGGGTTATTACTTTAAAACCTCCTCATTCTGAAATTGACATGGTGAAGAAAATGAACTTGGTTGTCGAGGGGGCAGCGCGTGGTTATGGCAGCTTGGTGCATGGTTCCATGTGTAGGCCCAGGCCTTGCGGGGGCTCACAGCTCCTCTGATTATCATGGACCCCACCCAAGGTTAACGTGTTTCTCTAAAGCAGATGAGTTCTCTTGGGGTTTGCCTGGGGCAGCCAGGCTTAGTGTTGTACGTGGATGTATAGAAGCCGCGGGCCCTGAATGGTCACACAGAGCCTTCAAGGAAGTCAAGTCATTTTCACAGAGCAGTCTGGGAAAACGCCCTGCTCGCAGGCCAGGAAGCTGCTTAGTGACAGCAGCCTGTTCTCCTATGTGTACCCCAGTCTCCCCATCGCCCTGAAAAGCAGAGTGTGTCAGTTCTACGTTGGGCTGATTGCCCTCAGGAAGTGACCAAGCTGGTTCCTGAAATGGGGACAAACACATTTTTTAAAAAAGTATTCGTCTTAGAATATTGTCATAGAGATTGAGTGTTTAGTAACTGTTGAACAAAGTGGTGGTAAGCGAAGAAACATTTTGTGTTGATTTTCAGTGGTTAAGGAGCCAAGTCTGTTGGTTCAGTTAGAGTTGCATGTAACCAATAAATCTGGAATGATGTACATATCTCTCATCTGTCCAGTAATTAGAAAAGAGGGTGGCAAATTATTTGAAGTTTCCTGTAGAAAGAATCATCTGCAGTAGTCAGATACCAGAAAAAAACAGGGTTAGTGACAAGCACAAAACAGATTCTATTGGAAAAAGCGATCTACAGTAAAATTTTGTTGGTGTAAAGTTTCCCCCTCTTTTCTCCCCTCTGTATGAAGGTAGTTTCATAGTTTTAGAACTGGAAGTAAGCAGGGAAGTCATCTAGCCCAATAATATCACCAATGAGGAAACTGAGACCAACACTGGGAATAAATAGCAGTCTATATTCAAACCTGTCGGACATTTGGGAAAAAAATACCCTTAAAATCATAATAGTAGGGAGGTGGCTAGACGTAATTTCTCACCACTTCCATCCACAATCGTGTTCCAACTTTGGCCAAACTCTGGACTTTCATGCCTTGTGCTATTATTAACACATGCTGACAGAGAAGTCGCCCCAAACAC